CTCTCAGTGGGCAGCAGTGGCCTCCTGGCGTCCGGCCTCTTCGCCGAGCCTCCCAGGAGCCTCCGTCACTCAGGACCGCCTCAGCCGCCCGCCCCTGCTGCTGCTGCTGCTGCCACCTGGGCGTCCCCGCATGCCCCACGGCCCGCTCCCTCCGCCGGCCCTTCCGCGTGGGTCGCCCGGGCTCCGGGCTGGTCCCACTACTCCCCGCGGCTTCTCCTTTCTCTCCCTGAGAACTTCGTCAGCTCCTGAGATTTCAGCCACCACCTAAAAAGGTGCCGCCACCTGCTCACCTGCTCCCGTCTCCGGCCCGAGCCCCACACCGTGCTTCTGACCGCTCAGGGGCCACCAGCACGCCCGGCTGGACGGGTCCCAGACGGCACACCCGGGGTTGTTTGGCCGTCCCCTCCCACACCCCGCGTCCAGGCCGTGGGTAAGCCCTCTCGGTCTCTGCTCTGAACCCCCGGGTCTCCCCTCTGCACCGTCCATAGTCTCCCGCAGATAGCCGCTCTCGCCCAGCTGGCTTCTCTGCCCGCCGTCTGGCCGCGCCTCCACGCCATGTCCAGGACTCCGGGACAGTGCCAGGGCCTTCGTGACGGGCCACAACCAGCCACCCCAGCTCTGGTCACGACGGGCCACAGCTGGCCACCCAGCTCTGGCTTCTCTGTCCCTGCCCACACTCGTCCTCCAGCCACACGGGCCCCTGGCTGGCCGCTCCACCTGCTGTTCCCCCTCACGCCCCTTCTCTGCCCATCCTTCAAGCCGAGGCTCGGCTGCCACCTCCTCACCATTGTGGCCCTAAAACCCAGCTCCCAAGAAGAGGTGACCTCGGGCCAGCTGGAAACTCTATTCAAGACACTGCAGCACCAGATGCTGGCGAGTGGGTGCGTGCACCTGTCTCCTGTGTGGGACTCGAAGCTGAAGGCGAGGTTCTATCTCACCGGGTCCTGGGCCACAGAAGTCTCGCCTATACCTGGCACACACTCGTGCTCACTTGCTTGGTCACCATCAAGTGGCTGTTTTCAAGGGCTCGCTCAGCGCCTTGGGTTTGGAAGTGACTTTGAGAGGGACCCGAGTCTCACCTTGGAGACACTGACAGTACACGTGGCCTCCCTAACCTCTGGCCCAGTAGAATGCTGGACCTGGTCCCACCAAATCGACGTGTGCTAGACCCTCGATCCTTAAGAAGGAAACATAGCAAGATCTCCATGAATTCCAAATTCAAGAATGACAAAAAATAGATTTAAATTCCCTTCCAAATGGTAAAAACGAGCAAACAGAAACTTTCAAGTACCCCCTTCAGAGGCCCGTTAGCAGACCAGCAACACAAACACTTCCCGTCCGGGTGAGCTTCTGGAGATAAGCTTCATCCTGCCCTTAGCTCTAGGGCCACCTTTCATGAGCTCCCCGAGTCTGCAAGCCCCGGCCACGTCGTGGCCAGTGACCGAGGGGCCCGGGGCCTCGCTGACCACAAGTGACGGGTGTAGAGAGCCCCAGGCCCACCTGCTCCAATACATTCCTCAGAAAAGGACAATGATTTATCAAGATTTGAGATTTCCAGGGTCGCTTGGACATAGTTGAATTACAAGTAGCCACCGGTGCTCCCTCCACTGCCCTCCGATATGGCGTCCATCAGCCCCGCGAGGCCATGGTGGCCATCATGACCTGGCCAACAGGATTTACAACTGAGATAATTCACATTTAAGAACATGTGGCTAACGGCTACCGTATCGGACCGTGCGGAGTTGAGCCACAGGAAGCGGTCGGTCGGCCCCGGTCAGCTAGCTGTGTTTAATTTCGTGTGAAAATCCCCGAGTGTGAGCACACCGCAGAGACTCCAGACGCAGGGAGACGTCCTCCTTCGGGAGATGGACTTCCCCGACACAGGAGGGACTAGGGTTTTGCTTTCTGCGGACTCTGCCCGGCACCTTGGGCCCGTACCTGTGTAGATGCCCAGCAGGGTGTAGATCAGCTTCTGGGGGACGCGCTGGGTGCTGTTGGTGGGCGCCTTGGCCATCAGGCAGTCCCTGGCCCCACAGGACAGGAGCTGCTGCTCGGGGATGGGCTCTGTGAGGTGGAGGACACGGGCGGAATGAGAGGCGGGAACCAGCTGGTCTGGGACGTGAGGGACGGCGTGCCCAGCAAGAAGGGGCATGGACACGTGTGCCCGGGGCTGGCGTCACGGTAACTCCGCGTCACCAAACGCGGCTTGTTTGACCAAGTGCGTCAAAATACGCTCCCCCTCCCCCTGGGGCACATGTGCGTATTCTAGAGTCTAAGACACTCTGGACAAACGCACAGTAAATGCTGGTTTCTTGTTAGATTACCTCCCTGGCATGAATGAAAATTCTCAGCTTTTTAAAATGAATCAAGAATAAACATAGCGGGAAGAACGGGTGTCGGGGTGGCCGGTTCCCTTTAAGATTCATCTGTATACAGCTCCATAACTTCGGGCAAGTTATTTCGCACTCTTTCTAAACGTTAGTTTCCTTATCTGTCAACAGGACAAACTTTGAACTGTCACATCTTAGGAGAAAAGGGGAAGAAGGATGTTAATTACGGTTTCCCAGAGGCTCGCACACGGGACGGAGGGCGCAGGGCCAAGGAAGGGCTGGGCCTGTAACGGTCAGGAGACAGCACGAGGGTTCCCGAGACAGTGGAAGAGCTTTACGCCTCCGCTCCCGGTGTCAGCGCTCAGATGCCAAGGGGTTCGGGCATAAAGCAGGTACACGCCCTACACCCAGGTCGGGCAAAGACAGACGTGTTAAAACGTCAGTCATCACACGCTCAGTCGGGGAACGGGTGAACGGCCTCCTGCGTCACACGCAAAACGCTGGCCGAACCTGTTCTTAGACAATCAGCCTAGAGCACAGTGTCGACTCCCGGGCCCTGTTACCGTGAGTGGGCAGCTGGCCGAACACCAGCGACGAGATCAGGTTGCCCCACACGCCTGACGACTGGAATATGAGGAAGAAAATGCCGAAGTACCGGTTCACCACGTCCCTGGCGACTCTCCCCGCCTCCTCTGCCTGCACGTTCCCCATGAGCGTGAGGTAGGTGCCCTGGGCCGACCACAGCGGGGCTGCCCCGAGCCCCAGCAGGATGGAAGTGGGGATCAGCGTGTACCTGTGGGCGGAGGGGACAGGTAAGGCGCTCTGTCCCTGCCGCCCTTCCCTCTGCCTGGGGCGAAGAGAGCATCGTCGCGTTTACGGCTTCGTTAGGTTGATGGATTCACCGGCAGACTCAGATAAATGAGCAAAATCAGTGTCTTTTCTGGTTCAGCTCCATTTGCAAGAGCGAAATGCAGCACCAGGGAGCTGCCGTGGGCTGGGGTGACGAGGAAGATGGTGGTTTCTAGGTGTTTCTAACAGCATCTAAAAACGGCTGCTGGACCGATTGATTCCCGCCCTCCTCAGCGAGGACTTTGCATGAAAGCTCAATGGAAACAGGAAGAGGCCTGTGACGCCACGGTAGCCAGCACGTTGTGGGTGGCCACGGGCCGTCCCTCAGACAGGCTCTGGGCATCTTAGATTCACCCCCGTTACCAGGCAGAAAACACCGGGGTGCAGAGGGAGGAGGAGGTGGCCCAGCAGGGGGACGGAGCCCCGATACTGGCCTGCCCAGCCCCCCAGGGAGCCGGGGTGAGCGCGAAGCTCGGGCCGGCCGGTCCGTGTCTGAGCAGAACAGCTGGCCCTGAGCGAGGACCGGGCGCCGGGCGGGCCGTACCAGCTGGCGTAGAAGTTGCCCAGGGAGAAGGCCACGTAGCAGCTCATGGAGGCGACGATGGTCCACTTGCAGCCCAGCGTCCTGATGAGCAGGGGCGGGAGGAGCATGGAGGACAGGAGCACGGCGCCGTACAGGGTGCTGAGCACTGTCACCCCCAGGCCCTCCTCACTGTACAGGCTGCTCTGTGGGGACAAAGCACCCTGCTCAGTCGGCCGCCCCGGGAGCGCTCCGCTCCACTGCAGTGTCCCCGGGCGGCCTCTTCTCCCCGAAGGCCTGTGGGAGGAAGGGCTGGAAATGCTGAAGGAAGTGTCAGCTGTGACAGAGACCCCAGAGGGAAAGCAGACCCCACGGGACGCCCGCTCCACGGCGGGCAGAGGCTGCTGGGTGGTGACTGGCCCCAGGCCCCTGCCGGGGACACACCTCGTGGGCGTTGGGGGCAGCGCCTTGTGTCACTGCGCGCAAGGCTCATGGTCTCCCAATTTTTGTCCTTTTTCACTTGGGAGCCTAGCATCGTAGCTTGGTGTGAGGTGACCAGAAGGTCAAACAGGTAAGCAGATCCAGGTGGGCAAAGGAAACCACGGCGGGGGCGGAGGGGGAAGTGTGGCTTTGCCACGGAACATAAACCAGCGTCATGGTCTCTTCTTCACTTGTAAGAGGAGAGAAGGGCGAGGTGGAGGGGGAGGGAG